GAACCGTATACACTATGCACCCGGGTAGTAACAAGATGTATCAGGATTTGAAGAAATCCTATTGGTGGCCAGCTATGAAAAAGGAAATCTCCGAGTTCACTGCGCGCTGTTTGACTTGTCAGCAAGTCAAGGCTGAGCACCAGGTTCCGACAGGGTTGCTGCACCCTCCTACCATTCCGGAATGGAAGTGGGAAAGGATCACTATGGACTTTGTGATAGGATTGCCACGATCTTCACGAAAGAATGACGCCATCTGGGTCATTGTTGACAGGTTGACGAAGTCCGCTCATTTTCTACCCGTCAGACGTGACTCTTCCTTGGACAAATTGGTAGACTTATACGTTAGAGAGATAGTTCGGTTGCACGGTGCACCGCTGTCAATCATATCTGATAGAGATCCCCGGTTCACTTCGAAGTTCTGGAGAGGACTTCAGAAGGCTTTTGGCACAGCTTTGAACCTTAGTACAGCATTTCACCCTCAGACCGATGGCCAGTCTGAGAGGGTGATACAGATTGTCGAGGATATGATGCGAGCTTGTGTGATCGACTTTGGAGAAGATTGGGAGCGTTACTTGCCGTTGATGGAGTTTGCATATAATAACAGTTACCATGCGAGTATTCAGATGGCTCCGTATGAGGCACTCTACGGCAGAAAGTGCCGAACCCCGATTTGTTGGACAGAGCTTAGCGAGCGTAAGCTCGAGGGACCAGATATTGTGCAGGAAACCGAGGAGAAGGTTCGTATGATCCGAGACCGACTCCGCACTGCTTCGGACAGACAGAAATCTTATGCAGACTTGAAGAGACGAGACATAGAGTACAATGTTGGTGACATGGTATTCTTGAAGGTTTCACCTTGGAAGAAGGTCCTACCGTTCGGGAAGAAAGGGAAGCTTAGCCCTAGATTCATTGGACCCTATCGCATTCTGGAGCGAATAGGACCTGTTGCTTACAAGCTAGAGTTGCCACCAGAGCTGAACAGGATTCACGACGTCTTTCATGTCTCCATGCTACGTAGATACCGTTTAGATCCGACTCATGTGTTGCTGACCAATGCTGTAACCCTCGACGAGAGTTTGTCTTACGAAGAAGAACCAGTTAAGATCTTGGCGCGCGAAACTAAGGTGTTAAGAAACAAGACGGTACCTTTGGTAAAGGTACTATGGCGTAATCATGCGGTGGAAGAAGCAACCTGGGAGACCGAAGAATCTATGCGAACTCAGTACCCACATCTCTTCGACGACCAATGACTCAGGTAATGTCGAGGACGAAATTCTTTTTAAGGGGGGGAGAAATGTAACGCCCCGTAACCTGGCCCAAAAGAATTAATTAAATTGTTAGAGCAATTGATTACGAATTGGGCCCAATAAGGGGTTAAAATTATAATTTGGATTTTAAGCCCAACTTTTATGTCATCTCGTAGGAAATATTTTTGTGATCGCGTCGGTTCAGACGGCTCGTGAATCGGAGTTACAGAGCTCAAGTTATGACCATTTAATCAGGTATTTTGGGTCCAAATCCCAATCCTTTTTGGAATGGGACCATTAAATAAACCTAAACCTCAGCCACTCAAACCTTATCCTTCGTTTCGTCCGTTCCTTTTTCTTCTTTTTCTTCTTCCTTCTCCTTCTTCTTCTTCCTCCTTCTTCTCCTTTCTTCTTCGTCCTTCCCGGCCAGCCTCGCCGCCGGAAGCCCGCCGCCCAGCCAATCGTCGCCGCCCAGCAGGTCGCGCAAGCCAGACCGCCGTCGCCCGTCGCCGGAAGCCAGGCGCTGCTTCCTTCGCCACCTGCCGCCGCCATCGCCGCCGTACAATTGGAGCAGCCGCCGGCGTCGCCGTTCATCGCCGCCGCCAGTCGCTGCCCAGCGTCGCCCTTCCCCAGCCTCGCCGCCGCACCAGCCAAACGCCGCTGTTTTCTTCGTCGGTCGTCCGCTGCCGTCGAGTTGCAACGCCACCGTCGCCAAGCCATCATCGCCACCAGTCGCTGCTTCCTTCGCCTCCAGCCACCGTCGCTCACCGCCGTGAGCCAGCGCCGGTCGCTCATCGCCACCGCCGAGTTGCAGCGCCGCCGCTGCTTCCTTCGCCGGTAGCCGCCGCTCAGCGTCGCTGAGCCTCGAGCCGCCGTCTCCCTTTGCACAGCGGCCATCCGCCGCCGTCGAGTGCAGCGCCGCCAGTCGCTGCTCATCGCCGTCGAGTTGCCGCTACGCCACTGTCGCCGGCGTCCGTCACCGTCGCCGCATCCGGCCGCTGCCCCGAGTTGATATCGCCGACAGATTAACCCCCACGCCGGATTGATTGGTCGATTTTGTATTTTGACTTGATTTGACCCGTTCGGTTGATTTCGTTGATTTGTCTTCCGTTCGAGCGATCGATTCGATTTCGACGTAATCCAGGTCCGTACTATGAAGTTAATAGCATTCAGAATCGATTTAATGGTTTGGATCGTTATATGTGTTTATGCTATAATTTGGCCTAATTGGTTAATTGAATTAAATTGATTGTTTGAATTGAATTGTTGAGGATTGTGAATTGGCTGAACAGGTTTGACTTTGACTTGGGTTAGGTCATGTTTGACCTAGGCTTTGACTAGATATTCTGTTGTCGTAGGTTTGACCGAATGGTTAAATCCAAAACTTTAATGAATTAGTTAAGTTAATTAATTAATTCTAATCGGCGATTAAGGTCAATTGGTTTATTGTGTTGAACATAGAAACTGGCCATCGCTCGGGCGGCTGCAGGGCCTGGTCAGTGAGGTTAAGACGTGCGCACGAGGGTCAGCGATCTTGGGTTTGAGGCCATCGCCCGAGGGATCCTACCTCCACCGAATTGAGGCCATCTTCGGTATTACGGATTGAGGCTATCTCCGTCATAGGCAATAAATGTTAAGTGGTTTGACTTTGGTGAAAGTCTAAATTGGTTTGACCGGTGGTCAAAGAGTTCATGAGAAACCCGTAACACCTAAATCGTTTTGAAAAGAAAGAAAATAAGTTGACTGTTGGTCAACCGTCTAAAGAACCGAATGTAAAGTTGAATTGATTTTTATTAAAAGGATAAACATATGCACGATCTTAATTGTTGAATTATTATGTTTATTCTTGTGCTACAATGGAGTACCACTCAGCGTCAATGCTGAGCGGATAGCGTTGTTTTC